GTGAAGGTGTAGCCTCAGTTTCAGTAGAGACCCCAGCTTTTTGGAGATGCTAGGACCGCAGGATGACCACCAAGGACCACAGTAGGTGCGGAATGGAGCTGGCCTGGGTCTGCGAGATGAGCTGTTTGTGCTGTGGACGGCAGAGTCAGAGAAGTGGAGCTGCCAGAACCCTTTGGAGGCCAGAAGATCATGAGTGAATCCCAGATGTCCAGCCTCAAGCTACTTTGCTGGACTTTGGTTTTGCTTAGGTGTGCCCGATTCTTCCCTTTGAAATAAGACAGTACTTGTTTTGGATTTTATAGAAGCCCACACACAGTTGAGACTTAGACTGAATTTTTTTTTTTTTTTTTTTTTTTTTTTGGTCTTTTTGAGACAGGATCTCCTAGAATTCACTATGTAGACCAGGCTGGCCTTGAACTCAGAGATCTTCCTGCCTCTGCCTCCCGAGTGCTGGGACTAAAGGCATGCAAGGCATGTGCCACCACGCCCAGCCAGCTGAGACTATGAATTTTTAAGTGTTTGGATTTTTTAAGGACTGTGGGGTTTTTAAGGTTGTACTGTTTTGACATTGACATCATATCTTGGGGATAGAAATTGGAAAGTTATGGTTTAATAGTGATGTTTGTATGTCAAGTTGACAAGGGGTCAGTTGTGCTGGATAGCTTTAGTGTCAACTTGACACACCTGAGTTGAGGGAGCCTCAATTGGGGAATTTCCTCTATTGGACTGGCCTGTGGCCATGTCTGAGGGGCATCTTCTTGATGAGTGATGTGGGACGGCCCAGCCCACTGTGGGTGGTGCCACCCCTGGGCAGGTGGGCCTGTGTTGCATAAGAAAGCAGGCTTGCTGGGCGTGGTGGCACATGCCTTTAATCCCTGCTCTCGAGAGGTAGAGGCAAGGGGATCTCTGAGTTCGAGGCTAGCCTGGTCTCCATAGTGAATCCAGGACAGCTGGGACTACAGTGAGACCCTGTCTCAAAAAGACAAAAAAAAAAGGCAGGCTGAGCAGGGGCCAGGGGAGCAAGCCAGTAAGCAGTGTTCCTCAATGGTCTGTGCTCCAGCTCCTGCCTCCAGGTTCCTGCCCGAGTTCCTACTCTGGGCTCCTTGATGAACTGTGACCTGGTAGATGTAAGATGAATAAACCCTTTCCTCCCCAAGTTGGTAGTGGTCAGAGTGTTTTGTCACAGCAATGAAGAGACAAACTAAGACACTGCTGAAGGGCATCCATCCATGGAGTTGCTATGACCAGCGTTGTAATGTAGTGGATACCTTGACTGCCTTTCTTGCAGATATGCAGGCAGAAATAAAGGAGTCTTTTTACAGTTACCATTGGGTCTCTGGTTATTGGCTCCTCTGAGGACTGGCTTCTGTGTTGTAGCATCCTCTAATAGGGGGCATAACAATTCATGTGCCTGATCTAGTCTGTTTGGGGTTTTTTTTGTTTTGTATTGTTGAGACAGGGTCTCATAGCCCAGTATGGTATTGAGTGAGTTAGATATCCAAGAATGACTAACTGGAGCTTCTGATCTTCCTGCCTCCATCTCCTAAGTTCTGGGGGTACAGGCTTGCCACCATACCCAGCCTACTAATCAATTTAAAACCTAAATCCTGCACCACTGTGCCTGGCCCACATCCTGCTTTTTACTAGAATAACAGTTCATGAAGGCAGAGGTTTTTTTTTAACTCTGTTCCACTGTGTTGTCAACTCTGTTACACTGTATTGTCTTCGCCCAGACAGTATTGGGCATATAGTTGGTATTTAATATCTACTGGCTGAGTATCTTGTATACTTCTATCAGTAGCTTTAAACAAGTAGGCCAGAGGTTGGGTTTTCTTTTAACACAACTCTTAACACAACCTTTGAACTCTAGAACTGGTGTTAATCCAGTGTTTGACTAGGAAGCAGCCAGCCATATGGAGCAGGGAAGAACAAGGAGTCTCTGAGTCAACCAAGCCGAGCGTCACATTTTAGTTGAGTTCCTTACCTGTGTGACCTGGGAGAAACCATTGTATTTCTCTGAGCCTTGGTGTCCTTGTCTGTAAAATAAAGGTTAACACTTATTTTCCATTCAGAGTTTAAGATAAAGTGAATATGTCTTGGGGACTCAAACATGGAACCCATGTCAGCTTCACAGCCTGTGTCCCAAGTCTGTTGTTGTTCATGGAGAGGTCAGCTGTTTTTCATTAATTCAGAACATGAGACACAGGAAGTTGAGGGGGATACAATGACTTAGTGTTTGCTTACTATTTCTTAGGGGAAGCAAAGACTTGGAAAATTCTCTTTCAAAGGCTTCTGTTTCCCTTGGAACATTCTGTTCCTAAAGGGAGGAATTCTTAGGCTCAAGGAACTAACCCCAGTGTTGAGCACGTGTGTAGCGTTGTGAAGTCCTGGGTTTGATCCCTAGCACAGAAAGGGAAGAAGAGTCTTTTTTGGTCTTTTTGAAGCAGGGTCTCCATGTAGCCCCAGCTGTCCTGGAACTCACTATGTAGACCAGGCCTTGAACTTGGACATCCACCTGCCTCTGCCTCCCAAGTGTTGGTACTGCAGGCGTGCACCACCACGCCTGGCAAGGGAAGAAGATTCTTATGAACTGAACCACATGTGTCTGTCTGCCTTCAGGACTGATAGTGTGCTTTTTTTTCTAAGTGGTAATGACTTGTGCAGTCTCAAAGTTGTCTGGTAGGGTGATGTGTATCTCCTCTATGCTGTGCGTTGCTTCCAGACCGCCTGCCTCTGTCTTTCAGAATCATCCCTGGAAAAGGAGAGGGAGACTCCAAGTCCCATTGACCCCAACTGTGTGGAGGTCGATGTGAACTTCAATCCTGACCCCGCTGACCTGGTCCTCTCCAGTGTGCCTGGTGGAGAGCTTTTCAACCCTCGGAAGCACAAGTTTGCAGAGGAAGACCTAAAGCCCCAGCCCATGATCAAAAAGGCCAAGAAAGTCTTTGTCCCAGACGAGCAGAAGGTAACCTAGTGTGATTTAGCAGTAAAGGGGCAGCAGTGATTTAAGAGTCTAGGGATAAGCTAGGATGTGTCTCAGTAACACAGCATTTGCCTAGGACATATGAGGCCCTGAATTCATCCTTAGTACTTCAGAAAGGAAAAAAAGTAGGGACTGGGCTCTTTCATAAATGATTTTATCTGAAGAGCCCGCCCTCCTGTGGATACCTTTTGGAAAGACATGAATTCTGTGCTTGGAGCCACAATTCATTGGGAATAAAGATGGTCAGGTGTAGGCCAAGTATGGTGGTGCATGCCTTTAATCCCAGTACTCAGGAGGCAGAGGCATGCCAACCTGGTTTACCACATAGTGGGTTCTAGGCCAGCTGAAACTGAGACCTGTCTCAAAACAAGAAAATGGTCAGGAGGTGTGGCTTGGCCCCAGTGATCCCTATAGTTTTTCCTTCTTTCCAGGTCTCTGGACTTATGGGTGTCTCACCTCCCTGACATCAGCCCAGCCATCAGGAGAGAGGCCCCTAGAGCACAAGAAGTATAGTTGAGTAGTTTTTAAAAGACAACAGACAACTTGGAGGGATGGGGCAATGCCTCAGTGGTAAAGCACTTGCCACAAAGACATGAGGACCAAGTTGAATCCCAGGAGCCCATGAAAAGGCTGGATGTGGTAGTATGCATCTGCAGTTCCTATGCTCTCACAGAGAGATGGGCAGAGTGGCAGGAGAACACGCATAGCAGTCAACAACAGAGACCCTGACTCAAGGTAGAAGGCAAGACCCAGTACCTGAGGTTACCTTCTGATCTCCACACATGCGCTGTGGAGCATACACCCACACTTACCCCCTAAAAAAGACAGTGTATGTTCCCATCTTCTGGTATAAGCCAGCAGCTCTCAAGCTGATGGTTCTGTAAGAACTGGTAAAAAGAGGAAACTTCAGTTTTTTATGTGCTCTGAAAACCTTACAGAAAAGACTTTTCATCTGTACTTTGGTGTCAGGCAGAGACCTGGGTCCAGACCCCACTTCACAAGTAAACATAGATTCTAGCTGTGCCTCAGATTCCTCATCTGTAAAATGGGAGTAATTACCTGCCTCTCAAATAGGTTCTTGGGATTAATGCTGATGGCGCTAGTAAACATTTACATGGTGCCTCCTTGGGGCTAGGAATTGCCTCCAGCACTGTGCAGACATACTAACTCATTAATCCTTGGTGACTAAGGCATTTACTATATTACCCCCTCTTGGAAAGCTAAGGACCTGAGACACATAAGTAAGGAATTTGTACCATCCCACTGCTGATAATCTTGGCAGAGACAACCCAGGGGACTGGAGCCAGGTTGTAGGCCCTTACATCACCAGTGTGTCTAAAGGAGGGAAGGGCATCTTGCTAGAGCAGCACACAGCAGACTCGTCCAGGCAGACTCGTCCCTCCACCACGAAGCCTGCCAGAGGACCTTGTTTCTCATCCTGCCCCTCTGAAAACAGGGCGGGGTCCTGCAGTGTTCCTTCTCCAGGGTCCTGACTTTAGTTCTCAACACAGAGAGAACTCGGGTAGTGGAAAAGAAAGCTTTGGATCCCTCAGGGAGAACACCAGGACCCACAGAGTGTTCTTTCCCACAGGATGAAAAGTATTGGACAAGGCGCAAGAAGAACAATGTGGCAGCTAAAAGGTCCCGGGACGCCCGGCGCCTGAAGGAGAACCAGATCACCATCCGGGCAGCCTTCCTGGAGAAGGAGAACACAGCCCTGCGAACGGAGGTCGCCGAGCTTCGCAAGGAGGTGGGAAAATGCAAGACCATCGTGTCCAAGTATGAGACCAAGTACGGGCCTTTGTAACCTGTGCCCCCGCCCGGCAGGGCACTGCCTGCACTTCAGACCTCTGCCTGGGGCTCCCTGGACCCCACACTCGTGTGGAGACTTAGGACTTGTCAGGGGAGCGCAGTGGCGCACCTGCTCTGGGAGCGTTCACGTCTCAGCTTCATTATAACATGGCTAGCGCACGTGGTGATTTCTCCAGGGGACCAGCCTCCTTCTCTGATGGGGAATGTGAGTGAATCTACGTAGACGGCTGAATGACCCAAGTTTCTCTTCTTGGATGTCCCGGCTGAATCAGAAGGGGACCTCTGGAGTCCAAGTCTCCTTTTACAGAGTGCTCAGGCTTCCCTAGCCTCCCCCTCAGTCTCCAGTCTGGGCTGACAAGGGCTGTCTACAGAATGAGTCATGATCATTGTCACCCTAATGTCGTCTCAGGTAGCAGGTGCATTTCCACTTGGGGTGTGTCTGTCATGCCCTTTACCCTCCCCAGAGAGTCTTTGAGAGAAACATCTATTCCTGTCTGTCTCAGAGGCAGGACATACCAATTTCCCTGTTAGTGAGTTCAGGGTGGCAGGCCATGGGAGCGGGGTCTCTGCACAGCCTGGAGTGGAGTTGGGGTATGGGGCTTGCAGCAGAAGTACACCCAACCATTCTTTGCTCCCATGTCCCTTTTCTCTTGTAACTCTTAAGGCCCGAGGAGGCCCTGGGGATCGGCTCCCTCTCATTCCACCTGCTGTGGAGAAGAAACTCACAGGATGGCTATTCTCCAGGCTCTGATTGCCAGCACCAAGGGAGGCCTTCATATCTCCTTTCCAGGCCAGTTTTTGGAGGCCCCTGACTCCCACTAGCCTGGCCTCTGGTTCTTTTCACCCAGTAACCATTCTCAGATCTTAGATTTAACAGAAATCTCCCTTCACTTAGGAAGCTTGAACTTCCTAGTCCCAGGGTACCACTTTTGCATGGTGTTTAGGAAACTGGCTCCACGGCCCCTATGCTCTGGACACCAGAGCAAGGGGCTGTCTCTCCAGAAGCTCCCATGTTTTCTTGCTCTGCTCACCAGTGAGCCCCAGGCCAGAATCCACAATCCCTGAAGGTAGAGAGGGCTTCCCAGTTCGCAGATCAGAATCCCTCCTTTGCGAGCCTCCCAGGGCATGTCAGCAATGCAGGGCACCTTGCTACGAGTTGCCAAAGTCACAGTGCAGCTCTCATGAGATGGCAGGCTCTTGAGACATTGACACTGGCCTAAGTCCCTCAGTCTTGGTCCCAGGAGTCTGGATGTCCACTCAGGCCTGCCCCTAGGGTGGAGTGAGCCTCGCAGCTGTGGCTTTCTCTGTGCCACAGTTCTCCCCTTCTCTTCTGTTTGGCTGGGCTTGTCCTCTTGTTCTATCTGAAGGATTGGCTGAGGAAGGTCATGGAACCCTCTGCTCATTTGGGTCAGTTGGGGTACCCTCCACATGGGTGTGTTTATTTGCTCAGGGCAGCAGCCTGTGTGAAGAAGAGGCAGAGGTGATGGGGTGCTTTTATGCTTAACACTGGCTTTATTTTATATGGTGGCTCAGTCTGGGGCCCAATCCCTCAAGACTTTTCATAACTGACGTTAAGACCAGGGAAAGCAGTCTACTGGGCCATGGACTGCAGCCAGGAGATGCCCTGGTCCACCTGGGACCTGCACACCCAACTCTCTAGGGGGGACTAGACAAAGGTCCCTGAGGCCAAGGGAGGTCTCTTTCCCACTAGGCCCCAGACTTTGACTTCGTGGTTCTCTAGAAACCATGTGCACACTTGTCACTCTGTTGTAACCACACAGGGCAGTTGCACCCAGCATGTCGGTGCCCTGCCCAGGCTGCCTGCCTGCCACCTGCCCGGCGCTCTCCCTCTGGGCTGGCTGCTCACCCAGAGGGAGCTCTCACTTTGTTGTTGGTGGACAAACCTTGAGCTGAAAAGCTCTTCATTTTCTTTGTCTAGAAAATGTAAGGTTTGTGTTTTTTAAGTTTTAATTTTTAAGGGATGGATACTTTATCCTTGGATGGCATCTGTGTGCTGACCCCATGGATGGGATGGGGTTTGATGTCTCCCCTTGGTCCCGCCGTCTGCCTGTGGTGCCCTCCTTTCCTTCCACCAGGCAGGGGTGTCTGCTTCCTTCCCAGAGTGTTTGTTTGGAAAGAGTGCAGCTACTCGCTCCTTGAAAGAGACCATTTGAGTCAGAAGCCTGGCAGGGACAGGAAGGAGCATGTCTGGAGGTTGACGTCTCGCGAAAGGACATGATCAAGTAAGCTTGCCGCCTCTGCTGGCCTTAGGAACCAAGGCCATGCAGAAAGGGTTGGTCCCTGCTCTGTATGCCTTGCCAAGAGTCTCCTGACTCCAGAGGCCTGAGGCTCCTGCTCAGATCTTTGAGATCTAAAGAGTACCAGGAAGCCAACTTCAGTCTGGCGTTCCCTGAGTGTACCTTGGTCGAGAAGTGTTGTCCTGTCTTCAGCTTCTTGGCAGCCTTGTTTCAACATCAGAAGAGATGAGTGAATGAGTCAGGATGCCGAAAGCGTGCACACAGAAGAAATGTCTAGATAAAGAATATGGACGTTCAGAGAAAGCCAGCAACCCCGTGGACCACCTGTCTGGGTAATGGTATCCTTGGCCAGAGGCCAAGCTTTGCTCATCTGGCTCCTGTGGTTGAGGAATGCACTAGGCAGTGAACCTGACCCCTGGTCTGCACTTCCTATTGAGAGGGTGCTGTGGCCTGCTTTCCACTCCTGGATCCTCCAGCCTGGGGGCAGAGGGGAAACTCTCCATGTGGCCCTGGGAGGTTTGTCCCCTACAACACAAAGGGCCAAGGAGCTTCTGATGATTTTCATGGCAAAGCTCCACCCCAGAGCTTCTTTAACATCTGTTAATTAAAGTGCAATAAATTTTTCTAGAAAATGGCAAAGATGATTTCCAGGTAGAGATTGTTATCTTTTGGTGTTGGAATGCCAGAACACCACTTGGTTTTATTTTTCTAAGTGCATGTGATGTGATAGAGTGTGTGGGGCTCTGCATCCTCCCTGGGAGTCGGCATTCCACTGGCCCCTCTCCTTGCCTTTGTTGGGTGAAAGAGGCCAGGAGCAAACCCTGTCCCAGCTGCAGAGGCAGAAGCAGACCGCAGCCCATTGGCCTTATGTGTGTGTGCGTGCGCGTGTGTCACTGCTAGTGGGCCAGAGTGATGTGGTAGGGAGGGAAGCCGGGAATGTATCCTTTTCAAAACAAAATTAAATATTTTGAGACGAGAATTTTGTGATTGTCTTTTATGTCATTCCCTCTTTTTTGTTTCCTCTCTCTGTATGTTGGCCTGAGAAGCCAAAAAACTGTCTCCATTAAACCATTAAATCCCATCCCACACACCACCTTTGTCAACACCCCCCAAATGCCCCCAGTCAAGTCCCCTAACTCCTCCTTGCCTCAGTTTCCTCATCTGTCAGATGGAAGTAATTCCTGCCCTGTTTATTCTGACAAAGGGCACAGAGCAGACCAAAACTAGCTAAACACAAGTGTTATACAGGCAGTAGAAAGACCAGGAGCTCATTGTGAAAACCCAAATTTAACTTGAAGGCAAGTTTTTTTTGTTTGTTTGTTTGTTTTTTTTCTTTTTGAGACAGGGTCTCCCTGTAGCCCCAGCTGTCCTGGAACTCATTGTGTAGACCAGGCTGGCCTTAAACTCACAGAGATGCATCTGCCTCTGCCTCCTGAGTGTTGGGATTAAAGGCGTACGCTGGGCTACAGGGAGACCCCATCTCAAAAAGACAAAAGATTTTATTTGCGTGTGTGTGTCTGTGTGTTGTGTGTATGCACATGAGTGCAGATGCCTGAGGAGGCCAGAAATGTTGGATCCCCTGGAACTTGAGTTGCTGGCCACAGGGGTGCTGGGAACCAAACCCTGGTCCTCTGCAAGAGCAGAAAGTGCTCTTAACCACTGAGTCATCTCTCCAGCCCTAGGTTCTTTAAAATGTCAGTTCTACAAATTAAAACATTGAGAAAGGCAAAGCAAAGTGTCCCAAATCACAACAGCTAGGCTAAAATCCAAACCCAGAATGGAGGACAGGACAGCAAACCCCAGAACAGAAATTGTGCCCTGAGATCCTGACATTGTACAGCCTTGTGGTCATCTGCCCACCTCACTGACAAAAGCTTCATGCTGGTGCCCAAGTTCGTCCTCGCAGGCACCCAGCTCCCAGCACTGCAGGTGCTTCTACGGCATCCCAGGCTCCAGCCGGTGCTTCAAGGCACTGTCTTATTTAAACTTAATAAGGGAGGAAGTTGTCATCCACTATGCACGAAGGGAAAGTTTAGAGCCATCACTCAGCAAACATTTGCTATTCTGTGTTACCCTTGCTTCCTGTCCTCACAGTATATGAAGAAAGGCATACAGCATGAGGGACTCAAATAGAGTGCTAGGTGTGGATAACAGGAAGACTGCGGAACTGGGACAGGCTCATTGGGTCAGAGACCTACCTTAAGTGGCACTGAAGTTGTCCCCAAGTTCCCATCCAAGTCAGGTGCAGAACTAGGAGTTTTTCAGGCAGCTTCTGACCTGGATCCACACACCCCAGGGTCTGTCCAGCAGGCCAGAAAAATGAGGCACAAGGAATGCAATCATTGGAGGACCCAGGATGACTGGAACCTGGCACCCTGGCCTTTTGTCCCTGGTGCTGGGAATAAGAATCCAAAAAGCCATATGGCACAAAGCTTTTGACCTCAAGTCAAACCTTAAGCAAAGACCTCACTCAAGGCCTTGCCCACATCGGAGTCCATGCCCATGGTCCATCTGACCTAGCTCTGGGCAGTTAGTCAAGAGGTGATCGTGTAATACAAAGGCCTAGGAAGCCCTTTCATGAGATTTGCGTGTCTGAATTCTGTATGTCCCCAACAATGATCTAATGCTTAACCTACTGTGTTTTCACCTCTGTATAACAAATGTTCTCACCCCAAGCAGATTTGTATAGCCATGGGACACACAGGGGCTGTGAACTTGGAATATGTCAAAGGTATGAACACTGGCTTAGACAGTCTAGATTCAGAGACTGTCTCTATCACCACCTTGACTTGAGGCAAATCGCTTTCCGCTCTTGCCTTCTGTTTCTTGTCTTCAGAGTGGGGACCAGGCTTCTCAGGATTGCTTGGAATAAAGTGGACTCTAGACTGGGATAACTGCCATCCTGGTTGCAGTGTTCAAAGTACTATCCTTCAGGAAGGTGACCAGCCCAGCCCTAGCAGACATTAGTTTTTCCAGCTCTTTGGACTTGGTAAACTACAGTTCCACGAGCTATTCCTCTCCCTGTAAAATGAAGATACACAATAGGAGTGTTACCTAACATAATGTAGTTCAGTAACTCCCACCCTGCTGACACACCCAGCTCTCCAGAGGACAATTTTCCAAAGCTGGATATATTGGGTGGGTGAGATCACTCAGTGGGTAAAGGCACTTGCCACCAAGCCTGACGACCTGAGTTTGATCCCTGGCATCCACATGGTAGAAAAAGAGAACTCTGGAACTCTGGTAAGTTGTCCTCTGACTTTCACACACATACAGTGACAAAAGTGTGCTCAGACACATACATATACACACACTAAATAAATAAATATAATTTAAAAACAAAAAACCAGGGGCTGGCAAGATGGCTCAGAGGTTGAGTACTGGCTGTTCTTGGAGAGGACCTGGGTTCAGTTCCCAGCACCTACATGGTAGTTAACAACTGTCTGTAACTCCAGTTCCAGGGAATCTGGCCACCTCAGGTATTGCATGACATGAGTGCACTTACATATATGCAGGCAAAACACTCATAGACATAAAATAAAAATAAGGCTGGGCATGGTGGCACCAACCTTTAACCCCAGCATTTGGAGGCAGAGGCAGGTGGAGCTCTGTGAGTTGGAAGCCAGCCTGGTCTACATATCAAGTTCCAGGCCAGCTGGGGCTACAGGCGCCACCATGCCTGACCCATGAATGAGTATTTTTAAAACCCAAGAAAATCCCAAAAGCTGGACATATGCCCTCTTCCTTGACTGCTCCACTAGCAAACAGCCCTTCCTCCTGATTTTTCCAGTCCAGCCAGCTCACAGCTCCTAACATCAGCAGCCAATTTGGAGAGCTGCAGAGGAAGGAGCAGAGGAAATCCAACAGGCTTCAAGGTGGGCACCCCAACACTCAGCCTGCTCTCCTTGACTTCTCATTTACTTGCTCCAGGGCTGGGATGTAACTCAGTTGGTAGAGTGCTTGCCTAGTATGCACAAAGCCCTGGGTTCAATCGCCAATACTGCATAAACCGGGTATGGTGGCACATGCCTGTAATCTCAGTGCATAGGAGTTGCAGGCAGGAAGATCAAGCGTTCAAGGTCATCTTGGGCGACATAGTGACTTTGAGACCAACCTGGAATGTGAAAACAAAACAAAAACAACTTTCCACTTAAGCACATTTAACTGTACGGGTCAGCACCAGGCGAGGCAGGTACGTGATGATAATTTATTTTGTCAATGAAACTTTCTTTAAAGATTTATCATTTTGCTAAATTTATTTTTATTTTATGTGTATGAGTGTTTTTCTTGCATGTATGTAGGTACACAAGTGTCATGCAATGCCCACAGAAGCCAGAAGAAGGTATCAGGTCTCCTGGAACTGGAGTTGCAGATGGTTGTTAGCCACCATGTGGCTGCTGGGAACTGAACCCAGGTCCTCTGCAAAAGCACCAGTGCTCTTAACCACTGAGTATCTCTCCAGCCCCTATTATTATTTTTTACTATTTTTATTTATTTATTTTTATTTGTTTGTTTTGGTCTTTTTGAGACAGGATCTCCCTGTAGCCCTAGCTGTCCTGGAACTCACTACGTAGACCAGGCTGGCCTCAAACTCACAAAGATCTGCCTGCCTCTGCGTCCCAAGTGCTGGGATTACAGGCATATGCCACCATGTCTGGCTATTTTTATTTTTATTTTATGTGTTTAAGTGTTTTGCCTGCATATATGTAAGTGCACTACATGTGTGCAGTGCCCAAAGAGGCCAGAAGAGGGTATTGGATCCTCTGGAACTGGAGTTAGGGATGGTTGTTAGCCACCATGTAGGTGCTGGAAACTCAATCCAGTGCTGGGATTAAAGGTGTGTGCCACCTTAGCCATGTTTCTTTTCTTTTTTGTCTTTTTGAGACAGGGCCTCCCTGTAGCCCAGCTGGCCTGCTGGAACTCGCTATGTAGACCAGCCTGGCCTCAAACTCACAAAGATCTACCTGCCTCTGCTTCCCAAGTGCTGGGATTAAAGGTGTGCACCACCACACTCAGTCTTTTTCTTCTCCTTCTTCTCGTTTTCCTCCTCCTCCTCCTCCTCCTCCTCCTCCTTCTCTACATTTATTTTTATTTATGTGTTTGAGTGTTTTGCATGCATGCATCTAAGTGCACCTGTGCATGCAATGTCCGAGGAGGCCAGAAGAGGGCATCAGATCCCCTAGAACTGGAGTCATGGATGGTTGTTAGTTGCCATGTGGGTGCTGGGGGCCGAACCAGGTCCTCTGTAAGAGCAGCCAGTGCTCTTAACGGCTGAGCTATCTCTCCAGTCCCATCCTTTTGAGTGCCATAATCCAAGGCTTTGTATCACAAGGTTACCATACCCCACACTGGTGCCTTTCCTGAATGAATGGAAAAGAGATCAGAGAGGAAAATGACCACACAGCAAAATGCCACTCAAGTTTGAAGACCCTGCATCTTCATCCCTCTGTTCTACCGGAATCATGCCCAAGCTAGGGGCCCTTCGAGGGCACTGTCTGATCCTGTCCCACATCTGGTGTGAGCTGTTCCCCAAAACCTGGACTCACACTGTGATGAGCAATACTGAGCAGCATCTAGAATCACCTAGGAGACAAACCTGGCAGGCCTGTGAGCAGTTATCTAGCTTAGGTTAATCAAGTAAGAAAGACTCAACTGGGGGCAGTACTAGCCCTTGGACTGGGGTCGGTCCTTGTCTGAATAAAAAGGAGGATGTCTTTAATCCCAGCACTTGGGAGGCAGAGGCAGACAGATCTTTGTGAGTTCGAGGCCAGCCTGGTCTACATAGTGAGTTCCAGGTCAGCTGGGGCTACAGGGAGACCCTGTCTCAAAAAGACCAAAAAAAAAGCAAAGACTCACCATGTATGAGGGGCTCAGACCAAAGTCACAGGCTCATTCATTTCCCTCTTTTTTAAAAAAAAATGTTTATTATTTTTATTTTATGTGTATGTGTGTATTGCCTACGTGTAGGTAAGTTCACTC